ATGATAATCATTATTATTATTATTATTATTCTGGCTAATAGATACACAGGGAGCCCAAGATTAGTCTGGCTGCTGGTCTAATGGCTCCAAGCAATTAGCAAGACTTTTTCCATACTTACTGATGTCACACAGTTCCCCTTGCCACTCCCCCACGCATATACAACGTCCTGTCACGGGGTCAAATGATGCACCATTCTGACATAAGCACTTTGATTGACAGTTTTTTCCATAGTAACCAGCCGGACACGGATTATTACATTCAACACCAGTCCACCTTGGTAGACAGTCACATGATCCATCCACCTTGCTACATGTTGCATTGTTCTGACATTTGCAGGACGCAGTGCATCCTGGTCCATATTGTCCATCCGGGCATTGTGTACCACAATCATCACCAATGTATCCCGGCTGACAGCTGAATAACAAATTAATTAAGAGATATTTATTACTTCTGCAGTCGCAACGTGTTTAGAGGATTTCTGACTGTAAAATTTTAAAACCCAGGGCACGGTAACAAAAAGGAATCAAGAGAGGTTTTAATAGTTCCAACAAAAATATATTCGTTTAGTACTTACGCGCACTCCCCAGTGAATGGATTACAGGTTCCCCATTTTTTGCAGTTACAATGTACTTTACATCCAAGACCACCGGCCCCGCCTGCACACCGTTTTTCACAAAACTTGCCCTTATATCCAGAGGTGCAGTCACAGAAACCATCTATTGGTGAACAAGTGGCATTGTTCTGACATGCGCATTTGTCATGACAGTTGTGGCCATATGTTCCCTTCACACAAAGCTCTTCACATCTGGTGAATAAATGTTTCTCAAAATTAAACAAAAAATATGTAGTATATAGAGGATTACTCATTTCCTCCAGCGGCGCAATATGGCTAATTTGATTAAGATAAGCGTCTAAACGACAAAAGTGAAAAACTTCTACGCATTCTGTATGCAAATTAGTCAAAACGTCTTCATGCTATCTTTTAAATATGTAAATTTGACTTTCGAACATGCCTGATGAATTGAACTTCACAAAATGCCAAAACTTAGTGTCCATGCTTGAAACTTAAGACTAATTCTCTTATACTGTGTTCGTTAATACAGCAGAGCGGATGCAATAGGCCCTTTGCAGTTAACGGTCACGTGTCTATACTGGACTGCAAACATTTTTTTAAAATACCAAATTGGTGATTCTTTTTAGCTACTTGTAAAGAACTGAATGAAAACATGTGTATCCAGTGTKTTWCGAAATGCAGTTTTATTACGATCTCTCGAAACAGGTTGTAGAAAGTTTGTTTGCAGTCCAGTAAATTTCACCCATGGGAATCAAGATGTTTATTCATTTGCTCTTAGTGAATTAATCAGCACGTGATTGCTTAGCTGCAAATGGCCTATTAAACCGCGAAATGAAATCCAGCTAAATACTAACTAATAGTATCTATTTAGTGACTCATAGTTGCTATCCCTCAACCAGAACATTTATTAAGCAAAAGACACAAATGGTCTTTTGTGTATTTGTCTTTGTCTTCTCACAAAAGTATACTCGCAAAATTGCAAACATTTATATTTCTCACTCAAACTCTTTTAATTTCAAATGCGCAGGCATGCGCTAACGTTTTTCCCTAGTGTCTGTCTGTAATGCAAACCAAAGACATAACTTCATAAAGCTTCATTGAGGGATTAAGCTTGGCAGGCGAGTTCGGTAATTGGTGTTGCGTCATGCTTATTTATAAGCGTATGTATATATTACCAACCTCTTCCCTCTGTAACCTGGCCTGCAGTCACATACACCAGTCACGTGATGGCACGTTGCACCATGCTCACAGTTTATACATGTTTGTGCACAGCGGTATCCATATGTACCTTTGGGACACTTTTGGTTACAGATGACTCCCTAAATATGCAACAAAGAAATGAAAGAGAAGCAATGTTATCAAAATTAGAATAGAGGCTTTGCACCATCACGTGATGGTAGCCACGAAAAGAAACAGGAACGATTGAATGTGGTCTAAACTGATTTACATAAGAAAAAATTCAGTTTTCCACGTGAGAACGACTCTATTGTAGTGCCTCTTGTCATGGCTGCCATCACGAGATGGTGTAAAGCCTCTATTGACGTTAACCTAGATAATTTCAAGGTAAACAAAAAGACGTCATTTGTTCTCACCTTAATGCAATTAGATACAGTGTAACTTGAAAGTTTAGACCACCAAGATAAATGGAAGTTGTACAAAACTAATTCACTAAGCACCTTATACATACTTACCGTCCATCCCGCTGTACAGTTACACGTGCGGGTTACGTTATCACACGAGGCTCCGTTCAGACATGGGCACTTCACTGCCCAATCCTGCCCATACCAAAAACGAGAACATTCTCCTTCACAGCTGCAAAATGACAGGAAAAGGAAAAAATCACAGTTTGCTATCCCTGTGGTAATTACCGGGCGACGTGCCTAACCATGGCCACCTGACTTATTATTTTCCCAATGCCGTTGAATCCTTTCCAGCCAAGTGTTTTCATCAGTTAAAAGACTTTTTACGAAAGAGTCTAGTGTTAGCCAGCGAAGGGACCAAAATAGGTTTCACCCAGGCAAATTTCTAGCCATTTATTTAAGTTTTTGTTGCAAAGAGTACGAAATAATTTTAAATATTTGCGGTCACTCTAAGTGATTTCACTTGCAGAATGCACAAATTGGCTAACTAGTAAATAGAAAGTTGGATGGCCACAATTAAGCGCGTCGCACTTTAATATTAACAAAATAAACTTACTGCTGTCCTTGATATCCAGCTGCGCATGTGCAGTTCCCACTAACAGGGTCACATGTCGCTCCATTAAGGCAAGTACAGTTGAATTGACATTTGTCGCCATAGTAACCTTGGTCACATTTCTTGCTGCAGTACTGTCCCTCCCACCCTGGGGAACACGTACAGATACCAGTGTGAGGGGAGCATTTAGCGTTGTTTTGACAGAGACAGTCATGTCTACAGTGTGGTCCCAATTCATTTGAAGGACAGTCTGATGACGAAGAAAAGGAAATTAGCACAGACATAAAGAAGAAAGATTACATATTAGGTGTACTGGCACAAATCTCTTACGCACAGGTTTTCATAGTAACACGAGCAGTAGTCTGGTTTGGTACAAATACCGTTCACACAGGCAGGAGTGCAGCGAGATCTCAGTTATAGGTTGGGCAATATATGTACCATTTTCCCGCCAAATCCACAGGAATCCCACAAGAAATAATTGAATTTGGGCGCCCAAAATGTTTTTGAATAGCAGGTGGGGGCTCCCTTTGTTCAGGTGATAGGGGTGATCGGCGCTCCTTTTAGGGTTAAAAATTTTCCCTTTGTGGACCTTTTAGGGGTTCCGGCTCAAAAGTCAATTACGTAACATAACTCCGTACCTTTTAGGGTCATTTATTATGCGTGTTATCCATACTAGTGCAGTTTTCGTATGACTGTGTAAAGTTCACGGCACGAACACGGTCATGACAGGGCAAGGGATACGCCAGACCAATCACATTGCACCAGAATTTACTCTCCATCCAATCAAATACCCGGAACACAGCATAAACACAGCGCGGACACGGTCACGCCAAGATCACGGCACTTTTAGACTAACCATATTGCGCATGAAAAAAATCAGCCAATCAAAATTTTAGAAAGTATCACGGTCACGGCACGTCACGCTTACGACACTGAGCTTTTCACAGTCATACGAAAACAGCACTATGCCTCTGTTTACTTTACGATGATGCACTAAATATTTCTTTAATATGATCATCGTTATAATCTTATTAAATGCTGTCCTGTCATTCGTTAAACCGGCATTGATAGCCGGGGTTAATAGTAAATTAAGAAATAAAGTAAATTAAAATAAAGCTGTACCTTTTAGGGTTTGAAATCAGGTTGGTTTTAAGAGCCTTTTTAATTTATGCGTACCTTTTAGGGGCCATTTCAAAAATCAACCACCGATCACCCTTACCTCCTGAATAAAGGGAGTAAACCCCCCCCCCTCCCCCCCCGGGCGAAAAAGTAAACGAATCTATAAAAAAAAACTTTTTGTTGAATGAGGAATCATACTTCTTCCCTTACCTCTATCCCTTACAGCACTGGTATTGTTTTGTGTAGGATATTCTAGTGACTACCCTAGCATTAGGTTATTTACCTTTGGTACACTGATCTCCCACTTG